GCTAGCCTTTGATAAGATAAGACTGATTTTGGCACTTTTGACATTTTCGCCCTTTTTTCAACCATTTTCAAAAATAATCCAGAGTCTGGTCAGGTCTTTTTAATTTTTTTTTTCTTATTCTAGATTCTATTATTTGCCACTCCCACTCGACAGAAAAATATAATTAGCCCCGCCCACCCACCCATCTCTCCTTTTCAGTGAATGACTTTATGCGATCTCAGTGAAATTAATGATCTTATACTGGACAGAAATAAAATTAGTCATTAGAATGAGAAAAGGGCGGATGGGCGGGGCCAGTACTTTCTAAGACAAGACTAATTTTTGCAAATAACATACCCTCCAAGAAAATAGAGGGCGGGTGGGCGGGGCTAGCATTTATTAAGATAAAACGGATGTTGGCACTTTTGACATTTTCATCCATTTTTCAACAATTTTCGAAAATAATCCAGTCTGGTCAAGTCTTTTTTTATAATTTTTTTAATCCTGGATTCTATTAGTTTCCACTTCCACTCAACACAAGAATATAATTAGCCCCGCCCACCCACCCTGTCTTTTTTTCAGTGATTGATTTTATCCGATCTGAGTGAAATTAATGAATTTATATTGAACAGAAATAAAATTAAACGTTAGAATGAGAAAAAGGCGGGTGGGCGGGGCTAGTACTTTCTAAGACAAGACTGATTTTGGCAAATGACATACCTTCCAAGAAAATTGGGGGCGGGTGGGCGGGGCTAGCCTTTGATAAGATAAGACTGATTTTGGCACTTTTGACATTTTCGCCCTTTTTTCAACCATTTTCAAAAATAATCCAGAGTCTGGTCAGGTCTTTTTAATTTTTTTTTTCTTATTCTAGATTCTATTATTTGCCACTCCCACTCGACAGAAAAATATAATTAGCCCCGCCCACCCACCCATCTCTCCTTTTCAGTGAATGACTTTATGCGATCTCAGTGAAATTAATGATCTTATACTGGACAGAAATAAAATTAGTCATTAGAATGAGAAAAGAGCGGATGGGCGGGGCTAGTACTTTCTAAGACAAGACTAATTTTTGCAAATAACATACCCTCCAAGAAAATAGAGGGCGGGTGGGCGGGGCTAGCATTTATTAAGATAAAACGGATGTTGGCACTTTTGACATTTTCATCCATTTTTCAACAATTTTCGAAAATAATCCAGTCTGGTCAAGTCTTTTTTTATAATTTTTTTAATCCTGGATTCTATTAGTTTCCACTTCCACTCAACACAACAATATAATTAGCCCCGCCCACCCACCCTGTCTTTTTTTCAGTGATTGATTTTATCCGATCTGAGTGAAATTAATGAATTTATATTGAACAGAAATAAAATTAAACGTTAGAATGAGAAAAAGGCGGGTGGGCGGGGCTAGTACTTTCTAAGACAAGACTGATTTTGGCAAATGACATACCTTCCAAGAAAATTGGGGGCGGGTGGGCGGGGCTAGCCTTTGATAAGATAAGACTGATTTTGGCACTTTTGACATTTTCGCCCTTTTTTCAACCATTTTCAAAAATAATCCAGAGTCTGGTCAGGTCTTTTTAATTTTTTTTTTCTTATTCTAGATTCTATTATTTGCCACTCCCACTCGACAGAAAAATATAATTAGCCCCGCCCACCCACCCATCTCTCCTTTTCAGTGAATGACTTTATGCGATCTCAGTGAAATTAATGATCTTATACTGGACAGAAATAAAATTAGTCATTAGAATGAGAAAAGGGCGGATGGGCGGGGCTAGTACTTTCTAAGACAAGACTAATTTTTGCAAATAACATACCCTCCAAGAAAATAGAGGGCGGGTGGGCGGGGCTAGCATTTATTAAGATAAAACGGATGTTGGCACTTTTGACATTTTCATCCATTTTTCAACAATTTTCGAAAATAATCCAGTCTGGTCAAGTCTTTTTTTATAATTTTTTTAATCCTGGATTCTATTAGTTTCCACTTCCACTCAACACAAGAATATAATTAGCCCCGCCCACCCACCCTGTCTTTTTTTCAGTGATTGATTTTATCCGATCTGAGTGAAATTAATGAATTTATATTGAACAGAAATAAAATTAAACGTTAGAATGAGAAAAAGGCGGGTGGGCGGGGCTAGTACTTTCTAAGACAAGACTGATTTTGGCAAATGACATACCTTCCAAGAAAATTGGGGGCGGGTGGGCGGGGCTAGCCTTTGATAAGATAAGACTGATTTTGGCACTTTTGACATTTTCGCCCTTTTTTCAACCATTTTCAAAAATAATCCAGAGTCTGGTCAGGTCTTTTTAATTTTTTTTTCTTATTCTAGATTCTATTATTTGCCACTCCCACTCGACAGAAAAATATAATTAGCCCCGCCCACCCACCCATGTCTCCTTTTCAGTGAATGACTTTATGCGATCTCAGTGAAATTAATGATCTTATACTGGACAGAAATAAAATTAGTCATTAGAATGAGAAGAGGGCGGATGGGCGGGGCTAGTACTTTCTAAGACAAGACTAATTTTTGCAAATAACATACCCTCCAAGAAAATAGAGGGCGGGTGGGCGGGGCTAGTACTTGCTAAGATAAGACTGATTTTGGCACTTTTGACATATTCGCCCATTGTTCAACTACGTATTTTCGAAAATAATCCAGAATCTGGTCAGATCTTTTTTAACTTTTTCACTCCTAGATTCTAATAGTTTCCAATCCCACTACACAGAAAAATATAATTAGCCCCTCCCACCCACCCTGTCACCTTTTCACTGAATGATTTTATCCGATCTCAGTAAAATGAATGATCTTATATTGAATAGAAATAAAATTAGTCGTTAAACTGAGAAAAGGGCGCGTGGGCGGGGCTAGTACTTACTCAGACAAGACTAATTTTGGCAGATAACATATATTACAAGAAAATAGAGGGTGGGTGGGCAGGGCTAGTGCTTGTTTAGATAAGACTGATTTTGGCACTTCTGACATTTTCGTCCATTTTTCAACTATTTTCGAAAATTATCCAGAATCTGGATAGGTATTTTTTTATTTTTTTTCACATCCTGGATTCTATTAGTTTCCATTTCCACTCGACAGAAGAACATAATTAGCCCCGCCCACCCACCCTGTCTCCTTTTCAGTGATTGAGTTTGTGCAGTCTGAATAAAATTAATGATCTCATATTGAACAAAAATAAAATGAGTCGTTAGAATAAGAATAGGGCGGGTGGGCGGGGCTAGCATTTGATAAGATAAAACTGATTTTGGTACTTTTGACATTTTCGTCCATTTTTTCGAAAATAATTTAAAGTCTGATGATGATTTTATGCAATCTGAATGAAATTAATGATCTTATACTGAATAGAAATAAAATTAGTCGTTAGAATGCGAAGAGGGTGGGTGGGCGGGCCTAGTACTTGCTAAGATAAGACTGATTTTGGCACATGACATAGCCTCCAAGAAAATAAAGGGCGGGTGGGCGGGGCTAGTACTTGCTCAGATAAGACTGACTTTGGCAAATGACATACCTTCCAAGAAAATAAAGGGCGGGTGGGCGGGCTTAGTATTTTGTAAGATAAGACTGATTTTGGCACTTTTGACATTTTCGCCTATTTTTCAACTATTTTCGAAAATTTTAGTGAATGATTTTATACGACCTGAATGAAATTAATGATCTTATACTGAACAGAAATAAAATTAGTCGTTGAAATGAGAAGAGGGCGGGTGGGCGGGGCTAGTTCTTGCTAAGAAAATTAAGTTTAGAAGAAGATCATTTAGAAGAACATCATTTAGAAGAACAAAAGAAATGAAAAAAGAACAACAAAATTAACTAAAATCTATGAACAATTAAAAGAAGAATGAAAAAGAAGGGTGTAAAAGATGATCCAAAGAAGTAAAAAATTATGAAAATGGCTGAGGAAATTGACGATTGATAAATTAGAAGAATAATTTGATAGTAGATATTCTCAGGGAAAAAAATCAGAAACAAAATTTCTGTTCTAGACGAAGATCATTTACAAGAGAAAAACATTCTTAGAAGAAATTAAGAAGAAAAGATAAGTTTAAAGTTTAAAGGAAGATCAGAGAAAATAAAAATTGCGACATAGTTAATCAAAAGTTGTGATCAATTACGAGAAGAAGGAACAGAAGTGTATAAAAGGTAATAAAAAAAATAGAAGAGTATGACAAATACTAATGAATATGATGATTAATAAATTAGAAAGAATTAATTTATAAGTAGATTTTTGTTGTACATAATTATCTCCAGTACGATAATTACTGATGAAATTGATAACTAACAAGTTAGAAAAAAATTATTTCAAAGTATAAAAGAATTTGTAGTAGATACTCTAGGGAAACAATCCACAATGACATTTCAGAAGTGTATAAAAGATAACCAAAGAAAGTAGAAGGGAGGACAAAGCTGACGAAATTGATGATTAATAAATTAGAAGGATTAACATTGAAGCCGATTTTTTAATGCAATTATCTCCAGGTAGAAATCAGGAACGAATTTTCAATTCTGATTAGAGATCATATAGAAGATTAGAATCTCCTTGGAAGAATTTAATGTAAAAGGACCAAAGAACAAACGAAATTTCTTCAATGGTCAAACACCATTTCGAAGATCAGTCTCTAGAAGAATAGAAGAAACGAAAAAATAATGACATATTAAGCAAGATTAATGAACAATTAAGAGAAGAATGATAAAGAAAAGTGCACAAGATTATCTATCAAGTAAATTAAAAAAGTACGACAATTACTGACGAAATTGATAAGTCACAAGTGACAACAAATCAATTTTAAAGTAGTAGATACTCTCAGGGAAAAAATCAATAGTAATAATTTAAAAAAAGACGATAAAAATGTTCCTGACAACTGCAGTGCCGCCACCCGCCAATTTCGAACCCCCTCGACGCGCCGCCCCCCACCCCAATCGATTGCCCTTTGCCGCCCCTGCCTGCGCCCGCCGATGCGCCGCCGGCCCGGCCGCCACTGCGGCCTGCAGCGCCGGTGACATCACAATGCCACAAACAATCGCCCGACGTCCCGTTTGTTTTAACAAGTGAGTTTCCACCGCGAGTCCTCGCTCTTCTGCTCCGCCGCCGTGGTGGTGGCAGCACTATTTCACATTGTCAATGGGAGGTTAGATTCAGTTGCCTTAGAAACGCTGGTGGGTTCCGTTGCGAAATGCTGCCTGCACGAGCGCTGCGTACGTACCCCGAGTCCGGCTCGAGCGCCTGAACGCCGCCCCCGAGCTCCGCCGAAAACAGGTACCAGTTTTTCAAACCAAAACAAAAAAACATATCATTATTTTTATTAGTGGCGTCTATCTAAATTATTTTTTTTTTAATAATAATCAGATCAGAATATTATTATTATTATTTGTATTGGAGTGTTTTTTCTCGGAATCGATACGATCGGGACTAAGTACTGATAAACGGTATCTCGAGTAATATAACCGTGTGTTCAGTGCAGGACCCCACTCGCGATTCGCCATGAGTACGGTCCTGTTAGAAGCGCGGCCCTTCCGGCCCTTCAAGTCCGGGGAGGAGTACCTGGTGGCCATGAAAGAGGACTTGGCCGAGTGGCTCCAGACCATGTACCCGCACCTGGGCATCAACGTGGACAACTTCATGGAGAAGCTGGAGACCGGAGTCACCCTGTGCGAGGTTAGTGCCAGAAGTACGGTCACGTGACGCCCTAAGCGCCGCCCTTGTGTAGCTTCCCCGCCCTAAGCTCCGCCCTAAGTGTACTTGTCGTTATTTCGATGCGCTGAGTGTGCTTCCGCTGAAGACTTGTTCGCCGGACTGAAAATATTTGGCCGAAATTAGTCATTTGGTTTCTCTAGAAAACGAAAGTTCAAGGGTTGGGACCTTGACGGGGACCTTGGTGGCTGGGCCCAGATGTTGGGTCGTGATTGCCGAAGTGCACAGTAAAATTTATGCAGTGATGACATTACGAGTGGATAAAATTGAGTGTGTTGGTAATTAAGGAATCCTTGATCTACTCAATTAAGGCTGCGTTTAAGACGAAATGAGATAATTGGATGATTGCTGGGCAGTTAAACGGTCGCGATTTGGGATCAGATGATTACCTTTGACTTGGCGTATGTGTGAAAGTTTATTTATTATGTTGGAGGTTTGAAAGGTCCTAACTATTAAGTAAGCGTGACAGAATCATAACGTAACTGTTTCGTGCTTGTAGATTTTTCTGCTTTTTTTTCGCAGTTTCGACAGGTCTGGGTGTTCGTTATCGTTTGCTCCGTTTGTTGTGTCATCTCCACTTTCGCTCTCTTTGTTTTGGTGTTTTTTCGCATTACGTGCAGTGTTTCGTAAATATTTTTTGTAAATGACTGTTCTCGGATGGTTAATGTTTTACGTGTTTATTTGAACAGCTGTCACAAGACGATGTCGAGTTTACCGTTTTTAGGTTTTCGTGTTCATTGTTCTACCCATGTCTAGTCAGCAGATTATCACGTTACTTTTTTCGCTCATTTATTGGAAGAACTTTCACAAAACTACCTACAAATTACTGTAGGTGTACTTGAAGTTGGCGCTGACCAAGCTAATTTGGACCACTTGATCATTTTTCTTATCGATCGGTGTGTTTGTCCCATTGTTTTCTATTTTGGCCTATTCTCAGTGTTTTTATTATAAATTTACAGTTCATATTCACTAATAATTAGAATTTTTAAAGTTTAGCCAATTGCCACATTTACCCTATTTTTATTATTTATTCGTCACTCTATTTTGGCCTATTCTCATGTTCAAGTAATTTTTTCTTTTTTTTTTTCTAAGAATTGTTTAGCCATTTTGGTCTATTTTCTCCCTATTCTCACCTATTTACAAGTTTTAAGATTTTTAATTTTTTTTCTAATTTTTTTTTCATTCTGGTCTTTGACCAATTTGCTTTGTTGTGGCTTATTTAAGTCGATTTACTCTACTCTGGTCCAATTCTTAACTGTTTCTACTTAATTAAACTCTGGAAACCAGTCTCAGATTTCCATTTAGTTTAAAATGGTTTTTTTTTTGTTAAAAAGCCTATTCTCAGTTTTTTGTGAAATTATCTTTTTTTTTCTATAGACAAATTGAAGACAATTTTTTTCTTAGCCTATTCTCAGTTCTTCACCAACGTGATTTTTTTCAATAATTTGAAACGTTATTGATAACTTCCGGTACTTTCGTAATAAACCTAAATTAAACCGTCTTTCACATTTTGGCCTATTCTCAGCTTCCCAGAAATTTTATTTTTTTTTTCTTTAATCAAGCGAATAGATTCTGTAGAAATTACTAGAGATTTATAATTTACTGAAAAGTGCTTTACATCATATTCACCATATGTGGCTTATTCTCACTTTCTACTAAATTTGCTTTTTGTGGTGTTTTTGAAGAAGTACTTAGGAAATTATTGGAAAATTGTATTCGAAAGAAAATGTTACTCAAATATGCGAACAGATTTTTCTCATCTCAGTTTTTCGTCAATTTATTTTTTTACATTGAAAATTTTAAGCTATACGTAGAAACCGCTATGATTAGACGAAAATCAGTATTTTCAAGTTTTGGTCTATTCCCAAGCTTCCTATAATTTTTTTTGGCTTAATCCAAAAATGGTTATAAAAATTATCAGTGATTTGTCTTTTCTCCAATTTTGTTAAAGTTTAATCACTATCCTATGATCAATTCGTACTAAATTTGTTTTTTATGGCTTATCTGATTAACTTTTGGGAAAATTAGAAATTCGTACAAAACAAAAAATTTTGTTCGAAGAGCAGACAAATTGAGGACAATTTCTTTTTTAGCCTATTCTCAGCTTTTCTCCAATGTGGTTTGTTCAAGTAAATTAATATACCTATATAATATATGAATAGATGAAAATGATTATAAGCCACGTAGCAACTGCTATGATAGACGAAAATCGTTATTTTCAATTTTTGACTATTCTCAGCTTCCTATAAATTTGTTTTTTTTTAGTTTAATCAAAATCAAAAATTTTACTGAAAAACCAGACAAATTGAGGGCAATTTCTTTCTCAGTTTGTCACCAACGTGATTTTTTTCAATAGTTTGAAACGTTATTGATAACTTGCGGTACTTTCGTAATGAACCTAAATTAAACCGTCTTTCATATTTTGGCCTATTCTCAGCTTCCCATAAATTTTCTGTTTTTTTTTTATCTTTAATTAAGCGAACAGATCCTGTAGAAATTATTAGAGATTTATAATTTACTGAAAAAAACTGTTTTACATAATATTTACCATATGTGGCTTATTCTCACTTTCTACTAAATTTGCTTTTTGTGGCCTTTTTGAAGAAGTACTGAGGAAATCATTGGAAAATTGTATTAAAAAAAAAATGTTGCTCAAATATGCGAACAGATTTTTCTCAATCTACATCTTAGCCTATTCTCAGCTTTTCGTCAATTTATTTTTTTATATTGAAAATTTTAAGCTATACGTAGAGACCGGTATGATAAGACGAAAATCAGTATTTTCAGATTTTGGACTATTCTCAAGCTGCCTACAATTTTTTTTGGCTTAATCCAAAAATGGGTATAGAAATTATCAGTGATTTGTCTTTTCAATTTTGTTGAAGTTTAATCACTATCCTATGGTCGGTTCGTACTATATTTGTTTTTTATGGCTTATCTGATCAACTTTTGGGAAAATTAGAAATTCATACAAAACCGAAAATTTTGTTCGAAGAGCAGACAAATTGAGGACAATTTCTTTTTTAGCCTATTCTCAGCTTTTCTCCAATGTGTTTTTTTAAGTAAATTAATATACCTGTATAATATATGAATACATGAAAATGATTATAAGCCACGTAGCAACTGCTGTGATAGACGAAAATCGTTATTTTCAATTTTTGACTATTCTCAGCTTCCTATAAATTTGTTTTTTTTAGTTTAATCAAAATCAAAAATTTTACTGAAAAAGCAGACAAATTGAGGGCAATTTCTTTCTTAGCCTATTCTCAGTTTGTCACCAAGGTGATTTTTTTCTATAGTTTGAAACGTTATTGGTAACTTGCGGTACTTTCGTAATAAACCTAAATTAAACCGTCTTTCACATTTTGGCCTATTCTCAGCTTCCCATAAATTTTCTTTTTTTTTTTTCTTTAATCAAGCGAACAGATCCTGTAGAAATTATTAGAGACTTATAACTTACTGAAAACGACTTTACATCATATTTACCATATGTGGCTTATTCTCACTTTCTACTAAATTTGCTTTTTGTGGCCTTTTTGAAGAAATACTGAGGAAATTATTGGAAAATTGTAGTCGAAAGAAAATATTACTCAAATATGCGAACAGATTTTTCTGAATCTACATCTTGGCCTATTCTCAGTTTTTCGTCAATTTTTTTTTGCATTGAAAATTTTAAGCTATACGTAGAGACCGTTATGATAAGGCGAAAATCAGTATTTTCAAGTTTTGGACTATTCTCAAGATTCCTATAATTTTTTTTAGCTTAATCTAAAAATGGTTATAAAAATTATCAGTGATTTGTCTTTTCTCCAATTTTGTTAAAGTTTAATCACTATCCTATGATCAGTTCGTACTATATTTGTTTTTATGGCTTATCTGATTAACTTTTGGGAAAATTAGAAATTCGTACAAAACAGAAAATTTTGTTCGAAGAGCAGACAAATCGAGGACAATTTCTTATTTAGCCTATTCTCAGCTTTTCTCCAACGTGTTTTTTTCAAGTAAATTAATGTACCTATATAATATATGAATACATGAAAATGATTATAAGCCACGTAGCAACTGCTATGATAGACGAAAATCGTTATTTTCAATTTTTGACTATTCTCAGCTTCCTATAAATTTGTTTTTTTTAGTTTAATCAAAATCAAAAATTTTACTGAAAAAGAAGAAAAATTGAGGGCAATTTCTTTCTTACCCTATTCTCAGTTTTACTTTAAACAAAATCAAGCCTCCCATAAATCTTCTGTTTTTTTTTTATGAGCGAACAGATCTTGTAGAAATTATTAGAGACTAATAATTTACTGAAAACTTTGCTTTTCATCATACTTACCAAGGGTGGCCTATTCTCACTTCCTACTATATTTGTCTTTTGTGCTTCTTTTAACAAAGTGCAGAGGAAATTATTGGAAAATTGTAATCGAAAGCAAATTTTGCGCAAATATGCGAACCAATTTTTCTCAGTCTACATCTTGGCCTATTCTCAATTTTTCGTCAATTTATTTTTTTCTGTATTGAAAAATTACTGGAAACTATCTAGAGACCGCTATGAAAGGCGAAAATCTATTTTTAAATTTTGGACTATTCTCAGCTTTCTATAAATTTGTTTTTTTCTAGTTTAATCAAAATCTAAAATGTTGCTAAGAAGGCAGACAAATTGAGGACAATTTACTCAGCGTATTCTCAGTTTTTCGTTAACGTAATTTTTCCAATACTTTGAAACGCTACTTTGATACTAAACCTAGATAAAACCGTCTCCCACATTTTGGCCTATTCTCAGCCTCCCATAAATTTTCTTTTATTTTTTAATCAAGCGAATAAATCCTCTGGAAATTATCAGAGACTTATAATTTACTAAAAACTTTGCTTTTCATCATATTTACCAAGAGTGGCCTATTCTCACTTCCTACTAAATTTGTCCTTTGTGCTCTTTTTAAAGAAGTATTTAGGAAATTATTGGAAAA